CATTGATGCACACAAGATAAAATATATATATTCTGAGAGAGATACAGATTGCTTCTGAAATGACTCCAATAATGAAGGAATTTTATATGTGACCTTTTTTGAGTTTTTCTTGAATAAACCTTAAGTTGTGGTGAAACAGTAGCTCAGGCTTTTTGAAAAGTGTGGCATCCCTGTATATAGATCACCCATTCAGTGTGCATTAAACAACAGCCACTCAAGGCAGTCCATCAGGGGGTGTTACTATATTTGCATCCCTCATCACATCTGGCTCTTCTCTACCTAGTGCTTTTAAGTCTTAATGGGGGAGTCTTAATACGCACCCCCCCCCAACACAGTATGCTCCTATGGCTATAGCTAAAACTGGGAGGTAACAGTCTGCATGATTCTTTCATATCAGTATGTGATAAGAAATATAAATATGTTTAATACAAATAACCAAACCTGCTTTAAAAAGTGATACATTTGACCAAATATGCTGTATGGGAGAAATAATTTTTAACGTCAGCTTTAAAAGTCTGAAAATCAAAAATAGAAGAGAATCTTTTAAGACTTTTGTCACACCATGAAGCATGCAGGCATGCTTGTTAATTCACGATGACATTTTAACCAGCCCTATTTTGGCAGGAGAGATAATGACAGGGCATATTATCATTTCTTAGGAGGGTTACTACTTCAGCTTAACCCCTGAGGTGTAGGAAGAGTTACCTCTGGCCTGGCAGCTCCACCCAGAAGCCTCGGGTCAGAGCCCACTGTAACCAGGCTCAGCAGAGCAGTGAAAACGGGTTTCGCTTCATGAGTTTTTTCTTCAGGTGTCTCCTAGAGCATCCACCTGTGAAGAGGTCTCCCACTGAGGCACAAAAGAAGCATCCACTGGGAAATGCTGCAGTTACATCTAAGTTTAAAGAAAAGCAGAAAAGGAAAAAGCATGCTAACTTAGCTACTTTTGTACATGATCAGGAAATCATGAGATTCTGCTGTCCGTGTTCTTCAGTCTTGGCCTGGAACATGGTTTCGTGGCTGCCTTTGTTGCACAATTTCAACATTACCTACCTAGATATGTTTCTGTGGAGAAATCCATAGTTTCACCTTGGCAGATCAAATTTTGCCCTATGAATACACAAACGTGTCATGTTAGTCTAGGCAAATCATACATTTTTTGTGCCTAAGTTCTTTTGTTTCTTGAACTAAAATCTTTAATTTGAATATTATTTAGCTATGTGCATGTTTATGACATTAAAGATAATCCAATGAGAATTAGGAAAAATATTTGTTGCAGCAGTTATTTGCAGTAGCACATATTAAGAATATAAAATCTCATCAACTTAAAAATCAATCAGTAAACTGTGACATATTCATACTGTATAATAAACTATGTCAACCTGGATAACTCGCAAAACAACATAGAGTCTTTTTATCACTTAATCTTGGTAGTGATATCCCATCACTTATGCCATAAACTGTTCATCAGAAATTAATCTTCAAGTCTGGTCAACATTCAAGGGGAGGCAATTGCCCAGAGTGTGAATACCAGGAGGCAAGGATTATTGGGGGCCATCTTGGAGGCTCCCTACAACAGCTGCTATATATTTTTAGGTATATGTGAAAATCGTGTAAAAGCATGAACAAAATTATGTAGTTATATCAGTAATAGTATAAAAACATGTACAGGAAAGGTAATAACTAACTCTGGGATATAAGGGAAAAATAGGCTTGGCAAAAGGTGTACCAGGACATCAACTATACCTTTAGTTTTCTTTTAAAAGGCATGGAAAATGTTATAACTCAAAAAATTCAAGTAACAGTGCATGGATATCCATTATGTCAGTTTCTACATTTTTGATATCTAGAAACAAAGATTTCCAGATCCAGCATTTAATAGGTGTTTCAAATTTATGTTCCATAGAATAAATTGGTAAAATGGTCTGATAAATTTTCTATTTAGAATGTTTACTTTTGGCAATACAGTGACTGCACAGTGCATTGTAAAATGTACAATGTAAAATGTACATACACATTTTGCTTATCCATTCATCTGTTCATGGACATATGGGTTGCTCATGTTTTAGCTGTGAATGATGCTGCTATGGACATGGGCCCACAAATATTTCTTAGAGACCCTACTTTCAATTCTTTTGGGTATACACCCAGAAGTGGAATAGTGCATTGTCCTGAGCTTTTAGTAAACATTTTAAGTGTCATTTGGTTTTCTTGTAATTCTTCATCTTTGCTCCAAAATATTTGACTTTGTAAAAATAATACCCTTTTTAAATTGTGGTAAAAAAACACAACACATACATTTACCATCTTAACCATTTTTTTAAGCATACAGTTCAGGGGTATTAAATACATTCACACAGTTATGCAACCATCACCCCCATCCATCTCCTAAGTTTGTTTTATTTTATAAAACTGAAACTCTATACCTATTAACTCCTCACTACCCCGTTTCCCCAGCCCCTGGCTCTCACCACTGTGCTTTCTGTCTCTATAAATTTGACTACTCTAGGTACCTCATATAAGTGGATTCATACAGTATTTGTGTTTTGTGACTGTCTTATTTAACTTTGTATTATGTCCTCAAAGTTCATCCATGTTGTAACAGATGTCAGAATTTTCTCCCTTTTTAAGGCTGAATAAAATTTTGTTATATGTACATACACATTTTGCTTATCCATTCATCTGTTCATGGACATATGGGTTGCTCATGTTTTAGCTGTGAATGATGCTTCTATGGACATGGGCGCACAAATATTTCTTGGAGACCCTACTTTCAATTCTTTTGGGTATACACCCAGAAGTGGAATTCCTTGATCAAATGGTAATTCTATTTTTATTATTTTGAGGTGCTTCCATACCATTTTTCCACTATTCTACATTCCCACAAATACTGCATAAGGATCCCAATTTCTCCACATCCTCACTAACATTTGTTATTTTATTCTAATTGGTGTGAGGTGGTATCTCGTGGTTTTGATTTGCATTTCTCTAGTGATTAGTGATGTGGAGTATCTTTTCATGTGTTTATTGGCTACTTGTATATCTCTTTGGAGAAATGTTTGTTCCTTTGCCCACTTTTTGGATCAGGGTTTTGTTTTGTTTTGGTTGTTTTAGGAGTTCTCTACATTTTGTAGATATTGATCCCTTGCCAGATATATGGTTTGTAAATATTTTCTACCATCCTGTGGGTTGCCTTTTTATTCTGTTAATAGTGCCTTTTGATGCACAAGAATTTTTACTTTTCATGAAGTCCAATTTGTCTATTTTTTCTTTTGTTGCCTCTGCCTTTGGTGTCATATCCAAGAAATCATTGCCACATCCAATGCAAGACATTTGACTTTTAATTACAGTTGCCACTTCTCTTTCCCTCACTGTTCACCAGGGTGGAACAGATCTCATTTTTCTGTCTACTGAACTTATAAAACATGTATGTAATTACAGCTTGGGTGTACTTTCCATTTCCATTTTTCATTTTAACACCTGATCATTGTTACATTATCTTTATCTGATTTTATTAAAAACATTTTTGTTCTGAAGAATTTTCCCAGGTATTTTATTGCTGTAATTGGTATCATCTTCCTGAATCTCTTTTTAGCTGTTCTCTAGCATATTAAAGGGATGTATTTCTGTTCTGATTGCTGATTCATGGATTTGTTGGAATGCACAAGCAGATTGCATCTCTGTGAACAGTTAGTTATTTTAAATATGTCAGAATTGTCCCTAGAAGATTTCCTAAATAAAAGCTGATTCCAATCAATTTACTTAAATTCATTCTGAATTACCTCAGACTCTGTCTTTAACACATTCAATATTTATGCAATGCACCCTCATGAGTGTTTCAAATATATTGTTTGGGGATAGGATGAAGCATCCAAAAATAATTAACACAGTGGCAAAGATAACGAAATGACAAAACTGAAATAGAAGATGCAAATGTACAACCATTTTTAGCACGAAAAGCAACAATCAATCGAGAGTAAATCTTTCTGGGCTGAAGAGCTGCATACAGCAGCAGGACCAATGCTTATGAGATGCAGCATTTTGTTAGATGGACAGGAGCCAGGATCATCACTGTGGTACATTATATGATCTGGGTACCGTTATGTTTCTATAATTGATTGGAATTGTCCACGGAGAATGTTCTTTGCTGCAATCCAAGGATTTCTTCAATGTTTCAGTTTCTCCAAAGGCCACTTGAAGGGTAATGTGTTTTTAGAGGAATGCATTTTTCTAAAGTATCAGAAAATAAGATTGAGGTTTTACTAAGATGTCCATATTATTCTGATGGCTCCTGCAAAAAACAGCACTATTGGAAGCCAGTGGCGTATTTTTTTCCTCTTATTTTTGGCTAGAATTAGGTTTCAGAAGTTGGATAAAATGGTGTAAAAATAGTTACTTCTGAAAGAAGAACCAAATATTTGCTTTTAAAGGGAAAGGGTTTAGGTTTTTACTGAATACACTCAAATTGATTTTCACGCTTTTACAAGCATGGGAGCAACACAACTCCCAGGGAGACTGGACAGAGTAGGTATTGCTTTGCAATGTTAGGAAAAGTACACAGGTGCTATTAAGGAAGTTTTAGAACTTGCTTTAAAATGTCTTTCATTCTGGGTGCCACATACCTTGCACCCAAATACTTGGTGAAAGTGTGAGGAGCTCCCACACTGTTGTTCTCAAAGCCTGTTCTATTTCCAGAATAGTCCCTGTTTCTGCTGACTTGGACATCAGAAATGGCCCTTGGGAAGACTATGAAAGGGTGATGTTTATCCTCAGAAACCAGAAGGGGTAGAAATGAGGCAGTCGGACCTCTCTTCCATTCGGTGGGGCCTCCATGTACCATTCACTACCCCACCAAAGCACATCCCCAGAAACTATTTTCAGAAAAGGCCCACTGTAGGAATCCTCATTCCCATGTACGCTGAGCTACAGCTGAAATTGCTCATGCATTTGTATTTGTGGAGGTGGAAATACTGTAGCACAAAGGAATGAAACACAAGTGAATCCCTCTCTGAGCACAAAGATTTTATTGTTTTTGGTGGGGGTAATAGCAATGGTGGGGTGGGCTCTTAGCCATAAAATTTATCCTGAGGATGAGTTTGTTTACAATTTATCACCTTAGGCTTTCATTTACCTTTTATTTACTCTTGACAGCTGTTTATCATTTTCTAAGCATTTTCATGTAAAAGATTCATTAAATGAAATTGACAAAACACTTGCTGTACCAGACACTGTGTATACAACAATGAATGAAGCTCACTGCCCTTATCACAATGGAGTCAAATACTATGAGAGGAAGTGCAGGCAGGTATCATCTCTGTTTTGTAGGTGACAAATGGAAACAGAAGAGTTGATGGAATACATTGTCCTAAATCTTCTAATATATGCTTGGATCACCAAACACAACACAGGGGCAAGGTAGTATTACAGAAACATAATTAAAACAACAACAACAACAACAACAACAACAAACTCAAAACCAAAAACCAAAAAACCCAAACCACTTCTCTTGATACTGCAAGCCTAGCTTTTCTTTCCACTCCATACCTATTCCTTCTAGACCCTTGGTAAAACTGTGCTGTAATGGGAAATAGAGCATATTTTCTGATAATAGCCAGCTGAAGTAACACATGTAAAGATGCACATTCCTGACAGACCACCTATTTGTTTTGGTATTGTAACTGACAAGCTTATTTAAAAGCTTAATTGAAGTCACTGGCTTTCTTCGTTAGAATGACTGTTAGACACCCTTTGTAGTATCAATTTCAGATTTTTGAAGAAGTATGCAGTGATTTGTTTCCAGTGTGATCTGGAGTTTGGTGGAGAGACAACTATAATGTTGGAGTAGATAACGTTTGATTAATGAAGGTCTCTGACAGTAGCCTGCTTATTCATTATTTTATAATTGTGTTGTGAGAGCTTCCCCCACCCCAATCCAAACTTCCTCTTCTGTACTTTACACCCATTTTATTTTTTTGCTGGTTCACCATGGTTAGTACTTTTTTTTTTAAATAACCCTTGCATCAATTTGACTAAAAAGCAGACACAAACCTAGACTCAGACATCCAAAAAAGATTTTTCCCTTTAGACCATTACTTTTAGAAAATATGCACCAATTCTGATGTGTTGCCATGAAGAACATTTTTGGAATCTCCCTTTTCTGATGGTCTTTGGTGTCGATTTACAAGCCATGAAAAAGGCAGTTTCATTTTTATGGCAGTCAGCGTTACTCAGTGTTAGCCTTTTCATTTGCAGGAATTATGTGGTTATTTCAGAAGCTCCATTCCCTCCTGAAAAGTGGGCACTTTTCAGGCCATTTGGAAATATGGGCCTGATTGGCTGTAGGCCAATTGAGAACTGGCTCCAGATTAGTCCTCCACATCCTGCAAAGTGCAGTCTTCTGATTCCAAGGTGGAAACCTCGAGAATAAAATTCATCTTAGATCAGTCCTGCAACCCTCAAATCATTAAAAACTGCTTCCAATATGACTTGGAATCAAAGGGTGCAGTCATTCAAAGTAACTGTATTTGTTTTGAATGGACAGGCATGGTATCTATGTAGTTTAAGAAGTCCAAATAAAAGATAACAAGTAAGTGAACAAGGGTTTGGAGATTCAAATAATTTTTAATGACAGGGAGGTGCTGGGATTCTGCTCAACCAAAGATGGATTACAGTCCATCATCTTTTCCAGGATGTCTCTGTAATGAACTGGTTAATATTAATTTACAGATGTAGCGCTACTCATGAAACTTTAAAAATATTTTCTGAATTACAGGCCAAATGAAGAGTAACAAGAAAAATGTAAGCATCCATTCAGATGTGGCTGGCTGTGTGTGCTTGACCTTGGGTAAGACTGGAAGCAACCTCTGTAGTACTCCAAGATCTCTCAAACTGACATGCAAAAGACTTGGGTAGAAGTTTCAAGCGAGGTAGAATCCTGAAATCTCATTTAAAGGCCTCAAATTGGAAGAATTTTATTTTCCAGGAGTAGTATAGAATCCTTATGATGGAAAGTGAAAGGGCTGAGGCTGAAATTATGGGAGTAACTTTCTAGACCCTGCAACCATTCTCCATCACTTAAAATCGACAACCTGGAATCAATAATCATTCTTAGAATTTTGAGGACCTTAAAATGATCTAAGTAGAACTCATTAAACCAAAAATTTTTATCTCCTTGTTTTGCTTAGATTTAGAATTTAGATTTCTGAAACCAGAAAAAGAAAGCTAATATAAGGGCTCAGTACATATCTTAGAAGCCAAGTTCTTTTATACTTAGTAAGAATCAAAAAATTTAAAACTTACTTCAGATTTTTCTTTTTAAAAAATTAAGGTCATGAAATAATTTTTACCTACTCATTTTGGATTATTTCTGAAAGAGAGAAGGCTCAGAGTTATTATCAGTTCATATTCTTCAAGCATATGGAGTTCCTGTTTAGGGCTACTTTCACTGTGAATAGTCAGCCGTAGTGATGGAAGACAGACAGATACCTGGTAAGAGAAGACAATAAAACCTCAGGCTGAAAAGGCTTTATGATAATTTGAAGTTTTACAATAACTGTAGTACCCAAGATCCATGCTACATAACAATATTTCATTCTTCTTTTCCATAAATAATAAGTCATCATGATAATAAAACTACGTGGTCTCTCCATGTTATAACACAAGTTACACTGTACTTCTCCCCTTGTATAAATAAATATCAGAAAGAGTATGGAAGTAAAGTCTTGAAGCAGAGGTAATGAAAAGAAGAGTGGGGGGAACAAATGGGAAGGAAGCAGGCGAGATAATTGAGTCAGCTTGTCTTGAAGTGGCACTCTAAATATTTTATTTCCACCAGTTATAGTATACACATTTTCTAAGATCAGTATATTTTGCTCTCCTTATCATCATTGGGCTCTGCAATATAATTTTACATCATATATTATTAACATTTTTGACTATAAGAAATTCTTGAAACTCCATGTGATCAAAGTATAAATTTTGCTAACAACCCATATTATATGTCTCCATACAGATTTGTCTTATGTATTTTATGCTGCAGGGCTAGAAATCTGTTACAACAAATCCTAACACTGTCATGTCTCAGTGTAATTTTCCTTAGAAAATAAGAAACCAACATTCTTGTAAACATTACACCGTGAGATGTAAGATTTGATGGATAATTCCTAAATATCATCTCAATATACACAAAAGGTTTTCCTACACGTGTGTTCATTTTACATATCAAGAAACTCACGAAGACAACATTTTGAAAGGCAACATTTGTTAAAAGGCCACCGCAGCTGACTTTGTGTTGCTGGAGTCAATACTGCAGCCACCGTCAATTTCCTGGGTGTCTTGAGGTTAGAAGTTGATTCCACCAAGGCAAACATCAAGCAATTCGACTTTGTCTAGATGAACAGCCAGACTTCTTAACCAATTCTCTCAAATGGACTGTTCGGGTCAGGTTACTTCACTTTCAGGTCAATCAAGGCATCAGAGACCTCCTCATTGACCTGGGCAGAAATACTCGCTGGTGTGACATTGAGATGAATGTCATACTGCTGGTCCAGGCCAAGATAGCAGTCGCTCATGAGATACAGTGTGTAGATATACCTAAGTTTAAAAACAGAATGAAATGTAAAACAACAGTCATATTTAATTCTTTCAGAACTTGGGTGGTGAGACCCTGCTTACCTTCCAGGTAGTTCCGGAGTATAAAAAGAAATGGAAACAACGTGATGGTTTCGAACATATCCCACTCTTTTCAAAGCAATAAGTTCTCTCTTATCCACTTCTCCTAATATCAAAAACCATCCTTCATCTTTCAATTTGGGAAATCGGGGGGTAACTGCGTGGCTGTCTTGCTTTCCCTATAAACCAGAAAAAAAAAGAGGTAAGACATTAATAATGTTTAGACTTTCTATGCCCTTCGGTTGTCGTTAAAAGGCTAGGTTGTTTTCCTTGAAAGCCATAAATCTACGCAGTTCAGTGTTATCTATCTGGGATGTTTTAAATTTTATTGTTTGGTGTTTTTGATATGCTATCACCTGCCACTTTTCAGGATTCTCAAAGCACATTATAGACACTACTTTGTGGCTATAATCACCAGCATATTTGGCTCAGTTAGAATAGAAAGCCCTGAATCTTAATATCAAATTAGTAAATTCTCCCATCATTCTTATAAATGATATTAGTACCCTATTTGAAGATGGACGAATTGAGATACAATCCTGTTAACCAAATCTTCCAAAGTCTTATTCACAAGAAACTGATACCTAGGGGAAAAAAGACAATCAAGACTAGACCTTGGACCTCAAGATAGTAAGCACTATATCATATAAATACCTTCCCTCAACCCAAGAATCAAACTCACATAAAAAAACATATATTCTAATATGGCAATATTAAAAAATCATTTCTTTGAGGAATGGGAAATTGTAAGCCAAGTGATTTGTAAAATGCATCAATCACCACAATCCAAGATCAGATATCGCCATAATCGCAGCACTTGAAGTCTTTACTTTAGATCGCTTTTACCAAATACAAGATTTTAGTGATTCTTTAAGACGCTGGCATTATGGCATAAAATGTACTGATAATGACATGCTTTCAATCAGACATCATTAAATATTCTAGAGGGAGATGTTGCACTTAAGACATTTTAAAAGAGAAGTCTGAGAGCAATGCATTTTTACAGCATTTAGAAACAAAACTGAGAGTTTTTCTAGCATGATTAAGGCATGATTAAATTTTTAAGTAGTAATACTAAGGTAGAAAAATTGTAGTTTTCCCCCATGATTTTATCTGTATGATTACTACCATATTTTTTTGTAAGTGGGATACATTAGGTCTTCTAAAAATGCTCCTATTAGAGCCTCTACACTGCCAGAGGCCAATCGGCTCGAACTTACACTGACTGATTTTTAGCATTAGAAATTAAGTGAGATGGGACCTGAAAGCACAGCACTAAAAAGATGTAACAACAGAAAGCTACTTGCCATTCTGTGTTTGAAAGAGAGTGGACTGTACTCACGAACAACCACTTCATTCCTGAGGGCTTATTTTAGATTTGGCACTGGGTGAAACAGAAGACAAATCCTTTCTTATTTCAATTATGGTACTAAAAACCAATCTGCCCACATGCTGTATGCTAATATTCTTAGAGGCCCCAATATTTAATATTTGTGTCATAGGTAACAGAAAAAAGCACAGTAATTGGAAATGAACACACTTTCAATTTTTGACCTGTATGAGCATTGACAATGCTCTCTCACAGGTATTATGGTGAAGGAAACAAGCAGATGTGGCATCTGAGGCGCAGAAAAGCTTAGTGTTTTACTCAAAGTCACAGAGCTAAGTGGTAAAACTTTGCTCCCATGCAGCCAAATGTGGTCCCTACATATCAGAGTGCCCCAGGGCAGTGCTTGCCAAACCTTCAAGTCCTTAAAAATCATTCGGGGTGCTGGGTAAAGGTACAGATTTTGAGACCTCTCCCCCTGAGATTCTGATGCAGTCACTCTGATAAGTACGGCCAGGGAATCTGCACTCCAAAAGGCATTGCAGGGAGTTCTGTCGGACTGAGTACATAGACCATATGACAGCAGTATGTCACGCAATGTATTATATAAGGTGGATATTCTGGGGCTGAAAAATGGCACATGGGGAGAAATGATTGATTTCAGAAGACTGACTCTTGCCGCTTAAGGCCAGTTGAGAAAGCAGGATTCGTGAATGACACGGACACATTAGTAATATAAAAGATATGTGTGGTGGCGCATGCCGGTGTCTGGTGTGAAGCATTTGAGAATGGAAACCAAACACTATACCTTGTGGAACCCAAAGTGGACTCTCTGCAAGCTGACTTGAAGCACATACTCTTGATCAGCATGCAATTTGATCCACCTGTTGTCATTTCGTTTGTCTGAAGTCAGAGTTGTGATAGAAAGTTCACCATGTCCTTCCACTGAGTCATCCCACCAGCCTTTAACACTTAGGCCAACATCTATCACCGGCAAGTGGGATAAGAAATTCCATGCCTGAATAAAAAAAGAGGAAAAGATAATAAAGGGATGGTTAATGTCAAATGCACTGATCAAGTAAGAAATAGTGTGCTTTGAAACAAATCAACCTTTTTTTTTTTAAATGAAATTTTTTGTCAAATTGGTTTCCATACGACACCCAGTGCTCATCCCAACAGGTGCCCTTAATGCTCACCACCCACTTTCCCCTCCCTCCCACCCCCCATCAACCCTCAGTTTATTCTCAGTTTTTAAGAGTCTCTTATGATTTGGCTCCCTCCCTCTCTAACTTTTTTTTTTCCTTCCCCTCCCCCATGGTCTTCTGTTTTGACATTAATTCTAGATTCAATGCAGTTGTGAGAATTAACACAGAGAGATCCTGTGCACCAATTTGCCAGTTTCCTCCAATGGTAGCATTTTTCAAAACTAAAGTACAATATTAATACAGGATATTGACATGATATAATCCACAGCTCTTGTTCAGATTTCCCAGTTTTTCTTGAACTCATTTGTATGTGTGTCAAACTAATGTGCTTTTGCTCTTTGTAGTTTAAAGTCTTTATTATTATTATTATTTTTTTTAATTAAAAAAAATTTTTTTTTTAACGTTTATTTATTTTTTTGGGACAGAGAGAGACAGAGCATGAACGGGGGAGGGGCAGAGAGAGAGGGAGACACAGAATCAGAAACAGGCTCCAGGCTCTGAGCCATCAGCCCAGAGCCTGACGCGGGGCTCGAACTCCCGGACCGCGAGATCGTGACCTGGCTGAAGTCGGACGCTTAACCGACTGCGCCACCCAGGCGCCCCTATTTTTTTAACGTTTATTTATTTGAGAGAGAGAGACAGAGAGAGAGACAGAGAGAGAGAGAGAGAGAACAAGCAGGGGTGTGGGGTAGAGAGAGAGAATTTCAAGTAGGCACCCCGGTGTCAGTGCAGAGCCTGACAGTGCAGAGCCCTGTCAGTGCAGGGCTCTATCTCATGAAACATGACACCATGACCTGAGCCGAAATCAAGAGTTGGACACTTAACCAACTGAGCCACCCAGGTGCCCCTAAAGTTTTTTTAAAGGCAACTAAAAAAGTATTAATCATTAGCTACACTGTGACTCCTTCACTGTAAATCCCTCCTAGATATTGAGTGCCTATGGTCTATATTAAACAATAAGTCTAAAAATGCTTGTTTTTAAACTTGTTTGTTTTAGAGAAGCATCGGATCTAATATTTACATGACTTCTAAGGCAGAGAGCATTACTTGGGGATATAAAGGCAACCTGAAAAAAAAAAAAACGTTGTGATGCAATTGTTGATGTCACTCAGCATCATTCATTGACTACTGTACAAAAATTTTTTTGTCCATATTCCAAATTTATTCTGAAAGGAAAACATTCCTATATGTCTGTATATCATAAAGAACCCTGTAAGTCTAGGGTCCTTCTGGAAATAAGTATGTATTTTTGGCATTATATTGAGAATACCAATTAAAATGATGCATTTTAAAGGGATATAAAATATCTTACTGATTTCATTCTTGCTCTTTAAACGGAAAGATATTTTGAGAAATCAGTATGCATATATCAAGTGCCATCTTTATTGAATGAGTGAATGAATTCCTAAGTCTACAGAAAGGATGTAACAAAATAAACTTAATGTTATCATGTTACTTATTGTCATATTTTTCTAATATTTATAACTATGTGGCAATATCACTATCAGTCAAGAAACTTCTCAATATATTGGTTGTTTTAATCAGTTACTAATCAGTTACCTTTTAAGTTAGTTTTTAAGAGTACTTTAATTTTGGTTTTTCTTTAATTTATTAAATATATACCATAGATTTCCTTATAGGCTTTGATTTTCTGTTTGCTAAGACTTTTAGTGCTGCCGAGTACACCTAATTGAAATGAAGTAGCCCTCGTGAATCAAACTACCCCTTAGGAATTCAAAAAATGTAAATCCAATGCAAATTTTCAATCCAAATACAATCCTATAACTTGTCTTGTGAATCTGAAATAATGTCTGGAATAGATCTTGAAATAGTCAAGGTACAGAATGGTCTACACTGTGCTTCATTCAAGGTAATAGATGGCCCTATCCCCTCCTAGAGCCAACAGTCATTGAGTATAGAAGCTATACCACTTGATGTTCTAAGACTGGCCAGAGTGGAAAAGTGATCAAGGGGACACTTAATACACAATTTCTGTAAAGCATTTAAGTTTGTGAGACAACACAAACAACAATTACTACAGGAAGCAAGACTTCATGTTTCTTTACTTGTACTATTAAATTAGTTACCAAGAGGTGTTTCCAGTTATTAGCAACTCATTGGGATTTTACTTTATAAAGCCCCCAAAAGTCAAATCTGGTTTTCATATATATGTAATCTTTCAGTAGCGCTTAAATATTTTTTTTTTCATCGTTGGTGTGTACACACATACTTGTTGGGTGTGTGTATGTATACACACACATATATACAAAAAAACATAAGCTATTTTTAAAGAAATTGCTAAGACATTTCAATACCAGCCAAACATATTTATCTGAGGATTAATCTTCATCTATTGAATCAGGCAAGAGCATTGCCATGCATACAATTATTTAATTAGCAGCCAAATCCTCTGCCAGTCAGCAGCCGTTCCAGGCATACTGATGGGGTAGAAGATGCAAATCTCACAGTCGTACTGCTTTTTCTCATTACTACTGCAATTAGCACTTAAATTGATGCTTTAAACATACTAATTTCTGGAATAATTCAGGATTTGTATGTTACCTGGGATCGCCTCACTGCAGAGCCGACACCAGATTGCTCTGCAAATTGAAGCACTTTTGAGCCAAATAACCATCATCATATCAGACTGAGCCAATTTGCATTTGGTTTTAAAGATAACAGAATGGCAATTTATGCAAATAAATTAAGTAAGTTTACTTCTGAGTTCTCCCTGAACTAATTATAACAATGTTCTAATTTTTCATCACATCTAAAACTTGGCTTGAAATCAATGTATGTTAGGTTAGAAATCTGTTGTTGCTAACAGAAGCCTTGTTTTGATTTCAATATATTGTTTTTATTCATAATTTTGATGGTAATTTAGTTAGAAAGGTAGGCACTTATTATGAAAATTTAGGTTGTTTTTTTGTGCCAATTTTGAGTTCAACAGAAATTGAACAATCAGACTTCACTGCCTGTTATACTTTTTCTAAGTCTTGCTCAAAACTAAGTTCCACTGGAAAAAAAGAATGACATGGTTTAGAAGTTTCTTTATCTTAATACTTGCATTTGCAAGTCAGTATGTTAATTATGTTATAAATCCTGAATGTTTGACATGTTTAGGCTAAAACTGCTTAAGACTTAAAAGTCTATATATGCCAAATACTTCTGGCATCATTCATTCATATTTTTGGCCATTCCAAAGACTAGGTTTAGAGAGATGACCTATGTTGTCTTTTACAACACACATTTAGCTAAGTTATGTGGTACACAAAAAAGGGATTTCTTAGAGAAATACTTTAGAACCTAGGAACAATAAGCAATTAAAATAAAGGGGGAGGGCATAAAAAAGTAACTGAGGGAATTGCATGAAAATCAACTGAAATTTATACCCGAGTGGGTAATATAGCCTAGTGATGGACAAGCTACTGTAGTCCTTTCTAAACGGGTTTAATACATTAATCAGTATTAATACATTAATACATTAATACTTTAATACAGAGTCAACTTTGAATAATGCCAATGCTACTACTAATTATTGTCACTGTAACTATTTTTAATATTATTGAGCTCTATTCTATATTAGAAACTACATAACTACATTTTGTTTTTAAAATTTTTATTTTTGTTTTAGAGAGAGAGTGTGCACATGTGCTTGCGCATGTGTGAGCGGGGGAGGGGCAGAGGGAGGAGGAGAGAGAATCTCAGGCAGGCTCCATGCTCAGTGTGGAGCCCAGTGTGGGACTCGATCCCACAACCCTTTCAGATCGTGACCTGAGATGAAATCAAGAGTTGGACATTCAACTGACTGAGCCATCCAGGCGCCCCATGGAACTACATAAAGCAATTTATATAATAACATCCTGCTTAATTTTCACAAAACTTCATGAGACAGGTATGATGTTTTCATGTTCATAATCATGGCACATGGTAGACAGAATTTAAACCCAGATGAATCAGACTCCAAAGCCAATGCTTTAGGTTAGAAAACTCTAGGTACAATTTCCCAGACAGAATAAGGAAGATTTGAAACACAGAAACAATGATCTTACCTGCTTCATTTTTACAGCTGTTAGCTCATTTTCCATCATCGAGCTGAATACATGGTCCTTCCCTCCACAGGCATGGAGCAATTCAGGAAGGCACTCGATGAAGCCATGGCACCCAGTACGTCCGCCTTTTGTGCCTGTGCTCCATTTCCTGAAAAATAATTCTAACTAATTATTTCCTAGAATAAATGAGAATTCCTGACAATGATGGTTTACCTGATGACAACAGTTTTTTAAAATTAAGATTACTATACTACTTTTAAAATTTTTTTTTTCAACGTTTATTTATTTTTGGGACAGAGAGAGACAGAGCATGAATGGGGGAGGGGCAGAGAGAGAGGGAGACACAGAATCGGAAACAGGCTCCAGGCTCTGAGCCATCAGCCCAGAGCCTGATGCGGGGCTCAAACTCACGGACCGCGAGATCGTGACCTGGCTGAAGTCGGACGCCTAACCGACTGCGCCACCCAGGTGCCCCACAACTTTTTAAAGGCTGTAATCATTATGTTTCAAAATCAGCCAGCATTCTCTAAGATATCAATCCAAGGCAGTCTGGCTATTATGACATAAGATGTGTAAATCAAATGTGAGCTCAGTAACTACTTAGGGTTTACGGGTAGGGGGTGAATTTCTATAGGAAGGCACTAATGTATACCAGTGCTTCCTGTGGATAAAGCACTGAATTGGAATCCTGATATTTTTTTTAAAGAATGTGGGTAAATGTCTCTAATATAATTACTTGAATAAAGTTTTCATCTTAACTTGTTGGGAACCTACAATGAAAAGTACATTTGGGAATCTTTGAGATTTATGGCACAGAAACACAGTCCACCTAAATCTTACTATCTTGTTTATACAACAAGAAGAAAAATATGATTAAAATTACATTAATAGAGCTTTTTCAGGATGACAGCAAAGAGCTGGATGAAATCTCCTAGACCCCAAGCCGCTTTCCATAACAGCCCTGCGTGCTGTGTCACAGTAGTACTCTTATGTACCTACTTTACTGTTGAAACCCAACTCCCGTAACGCTTAGTACTGTCTTGGAAGGGTTCCTGAAACTGAGCTGCAGACATGAGGTATCTGCTTTTCTCCTCATGCCACCTGCTGCTGGTATGGCTCACTCTCTGAATATGCCTTTTAGTTTCCAGGACATCCCATGCTGGGGGCTCAAGCACCATGGAAATAATTGCCTTGGCACCCAGTACACTTGAGGCCAACTGAGGGACTTTCCCTGGAGACCCCCATGTGTGTGTGAGGTTCTGGTTGGCCTGTGTGTCTAGATGCCTCAAATGAGTGCACGCCATAGTCTAGCTGACAGGCAGCAAGTACATGATGGCAGCCTACAGCCAGACTGCTTTCTTCTGTTTTTCGGTCTACATGACTGTAAACCAACATTTTAGCTGCAAAGTATTTCTCAACTGATGTGAAATGCTAGTGTAAAAGAAACACTTTTATTTAAATACTGCCAATCTTGCTTACAAGATGTACTGTTCTTTTTTTTTTTTTTTTTTGCTAGAATTTTTGCAGCTATGTACACAGGACCTACAGGTTAAATAGTTGGATGATAATATAAACTCTTAAATATAGGTTATATCTTGAGCTGCTAGTATATACAACTACCCAGTTTTGGACATTTTGCGGATGTACGATTTACCTTTGACAATGGATTTCCAGATCCCTCAAATCTATTCTGCAATTAGAGAAATTGGTAATTCATTTTGGTTTTAATTACACAGCACTTTCATAACATCTTTTAAAATGAAGGCTGATATGGTAAAGGAATAAATGCAGTTAAAATGGAAATGTAGGTAATGCTGTAAATAGAAAACAATGTAATAGAAGGTTAAAATGAATTGTGATTCAGCTTGTGGTAGATGACCAAATCCCAACTGAGAACCTTGTATCACTAGCTCATGTCTCCCTCTGGGAGGCAGGCATTTTCACTGTAAAGAACCAATATCTTAGGCATAACATAAAATTTAAGCGATCACACATGTAAAGAAAATATTATTTTTGAAATAAAAAAACCAGTCACATTGAAAATTAAAACAATTACCTGAAAATGTGAAGATGGTGGTGTTCTATGTTTGGTACTGAAAGAAGAGAAGAGTCTTTTAACCACCGACCCTGGATCACCATCTGAACCAGATTGGTGATATTCAGGGCAGTCACCAGCCAGCCCTGGTTTGCAGCCACATCCAACATTGCCTGAACAGGGGGAAAAAATGCACATATTACAAGAATACCATGGCCCTTGCCCTCTCCATTGGGGATCTAATGTTAACCTTAACAAAAAGCAAACGAACATAAAATGAGCATGATACCTCTAAATTACTATTAACCAAAATAGAAACCAGAAAGTAAACCACAGTTGGATTGGTAGGAACAACCCCCAAACTCTCATAGCACTTGTACACCACTTCCTGTAAAGTGCCAAATATTTAGCTGTTTGTAGGGTAGCACATAGAGCCAGGAAATACTGGTATCCAGCAATAAAACAGAGAAAAACTCAATCTACTTTAAGAACAAATACCTATATAATTCACTGTATCAAGAGCACTGGAAGCCGGATTTAAAGAGTGAATCTCTGGAAGTCTTTTCCAAAGTTAGTATCAGTAATAGTAAGGCAATAGGTTTTTTGCCAGAAATTTATTTTCTCCAAAAAGTGGACTAAAGACAGAGCCTCGGTTTTCAATGAAAATAATATACTACACACTTACAAATAGGGCTACTGCCAGTGGTACAAGTGGAAGGATGAGAAACTATTCATATTAGCCTATACATTTAATCTACTGTTTTATGGACAAACAAACGGCTGCATTTGCTTAAGGCAAAACTAAACAGTGAAATCTTATTTAAACAAAGGAGAAGTTTACACAGGCAAAGCTATTTCAATTAAATTAGATCCTGGAGAATGCCGACTTAAAGACACATAAGTTAATATCATGATCTGAGGCAGCTACTTTATACAGTTTTAGGAGTGTACTCTCTTGTTTTTGGGAAATGAAGACATAAAGCTAAGAGAAATGAGATGTAGTAAATGCTTAAAATGATAGTTTCATGGTAAAGAGTTCACCAACAATAAAATATTTATGAAAATGTTGTAAAAACCTATTAGAATATTTTTGGAAATAATTTTTTAAGGTTTATTTATTTTGAGAGAGAGAGAGGGAGGGAGGGAGGGAGGGAGGGAGAGAGAGAGAGAAAGAGAGAGAATATATATCCCAAGCAGGCTCTGTGCAGAGCCTGACGCGTGGCTTGATCTAATGAATAGTAAGATCATGATCTGAGTAGAAATCAAGAGTTAGATGCCTAACTGACTGAGCCACTCAGGCACTCCTGGAAATAATTTTTAAGGCATATGATGTTACTAAAACTAATTTGCCATATTACTTAATACTACCGAGGTAGACACATTTTTCTTCTAAGTTTTGAATTTCCTATTCTGTGTTTTCTACTTTAAGAAAGAGTACAATAGTTTAAAAAACATCTGGCTAAACCAGTCTGCTGTCTTTTTAAACACATTACAAGAAAATGGGTCAACATTTCTGGATATCATGGTTACTATGATGAAATGGTCAAACGGGGTTTTAGCACCCATGAGTCCTCTATATATGAAAAAGCCTCATACTAATGCAATACATACATTTATATGTATGTATATGTGTATATCAATGTGTATACTTGTATGAATGTACATGTTTATCAATCTAGGGAAAATTGGCTTGCATTCTTCCCGTTTCTCTGCACAGTTGATTAAAATACTCTGTTTTTCTTTGAAGCGTATGAGACAAAAAGATCATGAGGAACACTGTACTCAGACCAAAGGGGGAAAAAAAACCCCCAGCATTAGTTCACAAGTCACAACTCTTGAGTTATGTAAGGGAATAGAAAAGAAAAAAGAAATGAATAATTATACCTAATGCAGATCATGATGGTGTTAGAAGTTGTAATGTGGGTAACTATGGCGATTTTACATTGTAACTTGACTGGAAATAAATTCCAGACCAAAAGCTCACATACATGAAGAGCTCGATGGATGGACCATATGTTTTTAACTTTGAAGTTTTCATGATGAAGTTGAAAGATTTCATAAAATTTATGAGCATTCCCCACAATTTTTCATTGTATGATCCAGATGTGAAAATGTAAAAAATCATGCAAAGTGATTGCTTACATGAAGTAAATGAAAAGCCATGTCATGAATTGAAAACTATTATTTCTCTTGTTTTAATTTAGAGAAAAGGCAGGTAGGGAGATCAAGAATCTGGGATAAAAAAAGGTTTTGCAACCACCCAAATGTGGTGAGCCAAGTGTTGCTCTCTGCCAATCACTCTCGAGTTGGGCCTGTTTTCTCTGTACCCCTCACCCCCCACCTCTACCACTGCCTTAGTGTAGGCCTTCATCACCTCTTACCTGGAATATTTTTTTTTTTTTTTAATTTTTTTTTTCAACTTTTTTTTTTTTTTTTATTTTTGGGACAGAGAGAGACAGAGCATGAACGGGGGAGGGGCAGAGAGAGAGGGAGACACAGAATCGGAAACAGGCTCCAGGCTCCGAGCCATCAGCCCAGAGCCTGACGCGGGGCTCGAACTCGCGGATCGCGAGATCGTGACCTGGCTGAAGTCGGACGCTTAACCGACTGCGCCACCCAGGCGCCCCATTACCTGGAATATTAATAACTACCCCTTTATTCTCATCTCATATAATTTTTCTTCAATCCCTGTTTTATATGGTTACCAGAGCAAATTATCACAGAGATGACACCGATTGTGTCATTTGTCTGCTTACATTTCTTTGATGGCTTCTCATGGTGTAGAGGACAATGCTAGCTAGCACTTCTCTGCATGATAGTTCTGGTCTGTGATCTAGCCCGTCCTGGCTTATCATTCTGGCCCCTTTCTGTACTCCTAAAAGAGCAACACTAAACGACTGCTATTTTCCCACTTTTGTCCTTGCTCTTAAGGTTCTCTTTCTGCAAATCCTGCTCTGTTTACCCGGGAAATTCTGATTCATCCTTCCAGTTTAGCTCAAATGCTACTTCTTTTTTTAATGTTTATTTATTTATTTATTTTTTTGAGAGAGGGAGAGAGAGAGAGAAAGCACAAGAGAGGGAGGCACAGAGAGAGAGGGAGACACAGAATCTGAAGCAGGCTCCAGGCTCCAAGCTGTGAGCACAGAGCCCGCTGAGGACGCGGGGCTCAAATGCACAAACTGTGAGGTCATGATCTGAGCCAAAGTCGGACGCTTAACCGACTGAGCCTCCCAGGTGCCCCTCAAATGCTACTTCTTACTGTGAAGTCTCCCTGATTCTTCCAGATGGATGGTAGGTATTTCTTTTTCTGTGCATCTGCTGCTCTGGACACATGCCACCATTACCCTATTGTGATTCTTTGTTTACATATCTGCCCTTTAAACTATAGATTTCTTGGCAGCAAGAACTTAGAAATATTCTGTTAACTCTAGCCCAGTGCACTCAAAGAGTACTGTGTGTGTGTGTGGAAGAATATTGGTAAAAAACCCAATTACAATGACTATAAAAACTTCTGCCTAAATTATTGCAAACTTTCTGAAGGCAGTGCAGTGTAGGAAAAATATTACAAGCTTCGGTGTCAGATAGACATAGATTTGAATCCTAATTTTGTTCCAATTTCAAGGTGTTATTACATGTCCTTATAGGGGAACTATATAGGTACAATGAGGTAATGTACTAAGTAAGGTATCTAATATACTGCCTGGAACACAGATCTCAACAAACAGGGGCCTATCTAAAGTTTTTCCATGATAAAATGAAAAGAACACTCTAAAATAGTCCATTTTTTCTAACAAGGATTTCCTTTGGGCCTTTTGGCGTGAATTTCTGCATCGAGAAGTATAGGGCCTTGAGGCCCAGAGCATGCAAGGTCAGGAGCAGATGCATGGAATGGGCAAAACAGTTCATCAGGGGAGGTGCCAATTATGAGATAGTCAGGGAACAAGGCTAATGACAGTCCCTGAGTCTCCGGGCAAACTGGTGGATGTGGGCTTGGTTCTCAGTTTGAGTGGGCAAGCCCTGGTTACTGTTCAGAGGTATACCCCAAAAGAAGCTAAGGCCAGGGGATGGTCCAGGTAAATGGACTTGAGGGTCCTAATAACTTGTAGTGATGTATCTCCGCATGACTGAGCCTACGATGGATTCCCTGTGTCTCATGGTCCTTTGTAGCAGTCCTCCTGACAGATAAAACCTAGTAGGTTTGCTCCTTCCCAGAGTGGGACTGAATTTGGTAACAGCTGGAGATCACGGCTCAGTTCCCCAACTCATCTCAAAGTCCCTTACAGAGATCTAATACCAAACAACAAAGGTGATTTTAGTACATTGAGGAGATATAACTCTGTGGATATTTTTTACCAGCTTAACATTAATATTAGGCAAATACTTAATCCCCCTTTATCTCTCATCCACTTTCTACTTGGCATGCTACCTACTACAGGGCAAAACTAGGATAATTCTAAGTGTAGGGGAAAATGGATGGGGGCTGACTCTGTGTATGAGACTTTCTCCTACTAAGTTGGAATGAACTTCAATTGATTGTTGATTGAGAACTCTGTCATTTCCAGCTGTGACAAAATGGAAATATAATTTCTAGCACTGTATTCATTTATAAAATTATACTACTATTAAAATATTGTCATAATTAATAGAAACAGTGGAGCTGTCATTTATTCATAGGAGACCAGGGGTTTTAACCGAGGTGCCACTATGGAGCCAGGTGAAAAGTCCAGGTAAAAACTAAGGAACTTCTGCAGTATGTGGCTTTATGCCAAGGTAAACCACCACCACCACAAACTACAAAAATCAACCCTACCCCTCACTCCCATAAACAACGACAAGTTTAGAAAATGGACACTCTCTGGAAGGAAATTTTTTAGACTCTTGGAGTCCTGGAGCCAAAGGCATGCTTTATGACTTGAATACAACTCATGTCCTGAACATTTATTTTGAATCAATTTCAAGAATTCCCTAAGCATATATCAGACTTGGTCTTAGCATTTAAATTCAACCACATTTTCACAGTGGTGTTACTACTTCTGCAAAGGACAGATTTGTCCAAATCTAGAGATATTTTTCATACCTTCTGCTATCATAGATTATATTTAACAATGCAAGCTTGACAACATGTCTCTCCATATATTATATCAAATAAAATTTCATTCAATCATTAAAAGTC